TAATCTAGTTTGAGTCACACTCAGTTTTAGATCCTGGTAGTGATGGAGGGTCCTTGTTTTCCCTCCCCTCATCCTCAAAATGTTTTCAGGAGCAAATTAATCATAAAACCAGTCTGAAAATTACCTAAAGCAATATATTATCTCAGTTCTGCATCAACCAGTGTATTACTCTTGTCTTGCCTTCACTTTAGTCTTGACCCTATGTTCAACTATTTGAATGATATACTTACCTTGAACCTTAAATCCTTTGCTCTCTTGACTTTCTGTTGTGCTTGCCAAGCTAATTCTCAACCCTGGGTTATTCCCATCATCCACATTCTTTTCTTACTCTCAAGTTGCCACATTTGTCTAGAGGATGTTAATAAACCATGCTGAGTCCACAGCAAATTTATTCTACCTAATCTCAATTGGGCCATCACTGCTGTACTATAATCTTTTTACTCGATTACTGATGAGACTACCTATCACATTCCCCATAGATGCTGTTACAATATTCTATTTCCCCAATTTACCAAATTCTTCTTCCTCCACTTTGCTCTCCCATTGTTCTTAGCAAATGATCTCATCTACTTTGTTTAGAAAATTGAGGTAATTTGACATGAATATCTTTATGCCCCCTCTTCTATACTCCAAACTCTGTCTTTGATCCTTTCCTTCTACCTTATCTTAGGTGATAAAATGACCTTCTACCTTGGTCACAGCAATTCCACTCTCTCCTCTGGTACTTTATTCCACTGATAATACTCATTCAAAATTTTATAAAAAATTAACTTAACAACATACTGTTAGTTATTGTGACACATTGCCTATAATCCCTGCTATTGGGAAGATTGAGGTAGATTTCTTGAGTTCAGGAGTTCTGAGACACAAATGGCTGATATAAGTATGACACCAGTGTAGTGAGCCCCCAGAAGCAGAGGGTCATCAGGTTGCCTGAAGGGTGAATTGGCCCAGGTTGGAAATGGAGGAGGTCAAAATTCTTGTGTTAATCAGAAGTGAGATTTGGGCCCATAAGTGGCCCCTGCACTTTCTTTCCTTTCCTTTTTTTTTTTTTGAGAGGCAATCGGGGTTAAGTGACTTGCCCAGGGTCACACAGCTAGTAAGTGTTTAAGGCTGGATTTTAACTTATGTTCTCCTGACTCCACTGTTCCACCTAGCTGCCTCAGTCCCTGCACTTTCAGCCTGGGTGGGATAGGGAAAACCAATTTCAAAACAACAAAACTACCCCCATCACCATTGCAACTGATGAAATCCTAATAAAACTACTTCCAGCCCCAATATTCCAACTTCCTTTTGGGCCCCATTGAACAGCAGGCATGTCCTGATTTAACCTCACAATCTGACTTTAACCCTCAGATCAATATAGACACTGCCCCTAGCTAGCCACTGCCTCCAGATCCAATTCACATATTTGTGTGTTCTTGTACTCTCTTACTCAACCACAATCACGTCATCCATTTAGCCCAAGACAGGATCACAATACCTAACTATCCATCTTGACCAGACAGGACCACAATAACTAGTCAATCAGAAAGCAGCATGACCAGGATGTTTGTCCACTGAACCATAGAAGGGATCCTTCCCCATTACCTAATCCCTCAACAAACCTCCCCTGCCTTTTTAATATTCATAATTTCTGTTGTGTAATCAGCATCATTACACTGTAAATTTGCCTGTGTTGTCTTACTAAGTTGCTGGTTCCTCTTGGAATCTAGCCTGCTTCTGAGGGGCATCAATCCTCAATAAATGCCTGTAGTTGGATTAGAAGTGGTCTGACTCTGAATTCTTTGAGATGGTGCTGCCACAACACCATGAAACTGCAACAACCACCACCACCATATTGTTGGATTTTGCTTTCTAATCCACATTGCTATTCTCCTTCATTTCATGGTGTGAGTTGAATACATGTACATTCATAGTTATGATTATCAGTTCAACTTTATATTCAATCTTTTTACTGTCTGATTACCAACACGGTTAGGTTTCCCCATTCTAAAAAGTAAGCTTTCCTTGGTTTTGCTAACTCCTCAAGTTATAATTACTGCTAAACTTCTAGAAAGAGTAATATATACTTCTTCACCACCCACTCACTCCATAATCCTGTACAATTTGGCTTTTGTCTCTGACACCATTGAAACACCTCTTGCAAAGATAAGATCTAAACGTTAAATGTATTCTCCTTTATCTCTCACAATGTTTGTCACTATTGCTGACCATCTCAACTTTGATATTTATTCTTCCTTGGACTTCAAGGATGCTGTTCTCTCCTAACTATCCATCATCTCTTGCCTGTCCTTCCAATCTCCTTTTTGGATTAATTTTGTTCCTGCTATTGCTTAATTTTGTGCATTCCCCAAAACTTTTGTCATCAGCTCTTTATGGCTTTAATGATTAACAGCAGAGATAGTTCCCAAGTTTAGATCACCAGCTCTGACCTCTCCCCTTAACTTCATTAACCTTCTTTTTTAGTTAATATGTTAGTTAGTTAATATTTTTTTCTCTACAGCTTTAGCTACACTTCCTCTTCTCCCAACTTTTTTACATTGTTGCTAGTTGTTCCTAAGATTTGTTCTTTTACACACTTGAGATGTCATTATTTAGTCTACATCTAGGTCTATATCTTTTGCTTGTGTTCCTTATATTACTATTTTTATTATGTTATGGTCTTTAATGTTTAGTATTTCTACCTGTGCCTTAGTATGTCTTCTATTTTTGTAAAAATATCAAGTGATGCGTAGAAATATGTATGATCTTTAATGTTCCAACTTAGGAAGTACTATAACACTTTTAAATCTAACTTCTCCAAGAGTCTTTTCACTTATTTTTCTTTTTGTTTATCTTGCTGTTAAATTTATTTAACTCTGAAAGAGAAGCATTAAAGTCTTCTACAATTATTTTATCAGTATGTCTTTTTTGTGACAATTCAGTTAATGTTTCCTTTGTTAGTGGCATGAAAGGTACATTGAAGAGAGGAAAGTCTAGAGTCAAGAAATTAAAAATATAGTGCGTAATCAATGTAAGAGATAATTAAGGCTGAGAGTATTGTGACTAAAAAAGCTAGATTTGAGAGCTATTTGGGAATTTCCTTACAAATTTAGATGTTATGCCACTGTTTAATAATGTACCTATGTTTAATAATGTTTCATTGTATCTGGTATCGTGAAGCATAATGTTGTTTCCCCATTTATCTTTCTCAACATTATCATTTTTTACGACAGAATTATTACAACTATTGTTTTTCTGAAATCACCTGAAGCAAAGCGATTTTTTCCTAGCCCCTTATTTTCATTTTGCATTTGCAATCATTTTGCATCTTTCCTTTTAGATATATTTCTCCTATGCAGCAAATTGTTGCATTTTAACCCATTCTTTCATTTTATTGGATTAATCTATTCATGTTTTTGGTTATCTGACCATATTCTCTAATCTCCAGTGCTACCTGTAGGAAAGCTACACCAGAATGTCTTGCCCTAACTTTAAACTCAACATGTCCAAAATTGAACTCAAAATGCCTTCAAAATACCAACCTCTTTTCCTAATTTCCATATTTATGTTGATAGTATCTGATGGAGTGAGGACTTGAACCCAGGTCACTAAGCCTAGCACCTTTCCAAAGAAGCCCCAAAGGAAGGTTCCTTATTTATCCCCAGGGCACACTTTCCACACATACAGGATCACCTCTAGCCCTAAATAAAATCACTTACCTGCTTTTCTTGGGCATAAATTCTACCACTCTTACTCATTCTAATAATTTTTTTCCCAAAGAGTTTCCCCCAAATCAGAGAATCTAAACTCCTAGATTCTACATTTTACCCACGGGGACTCAATGTTCCCACTCTCATAGTTTTCCTTTAACTCCCTTCCAGTGGATAACATAGGGCTACCAATCAAATCCCTAGGGTATTGATTTGATGTTCTCTTAGAGCCTTTTTAACTCTGACATCCTGTGACTAGATAGGAAGAAATTAGGAAATTTGGGATTTCATTCTGATAGGAAACTCCTGGATGTAACCTGAGAACTCAGTGGTGTAGAGATTTTGAATTTATTCAATGTATCATAGGCAGGTTAATGTCTTGGAAAAAATAACCTCACTCATCTATTCAGATATACTGTTGTATAAGTATAGGCTAAAAGAAAAGTGCCACTTAGGGTCTGTATATATTAGCAGTGAGGATTCAAGACCTTAATTTGAATCAAATATTCACTAACAAACCAGTTTTATTTTAACAAGAAAAATTATAGGGTAGAACTATAAGATACATGAAATTTTACTTTATTCTGATGATAATAAACATTAGAAGCATGCATTCTATTTAGTCCAAGATGGGCATGAGAATTTAGAAGTTTTAAACAAGAGTGCAAACTTCAAAGAGTAATACCTACAAGAAGAGGTAAAGAGAAATGATTTTTCTTCGAGAAGGTCAAGGGAATTTAATCTTCAATTATACATTACACATAGAAGGTGACCAGTTTCTTTCCTTTTTCCAGGGATAGAAGGACTGGAACAATGACATTAACAGTACAGGGGGTCTTAGATAAGAAGAAACAATTTCCTGACAGAGAAGGATGTCAAAACATTTCAAAAGGCTGCTGAGGGAAGCTGTGTAATCTCTCCAACTCCTTTAAAAATAGAAACAGTCATCTATTTAGGATGGTTTGGATACAGTTCTGGGGAAAGGTTCTTTAAAGTCCCTTCTAGACCCAGGATTCTGATATGCCAATGAGCCCAAGTTCATTTGGGGATTGTAAATGATTACTTTAAGCATTTCTCATTTCACTGATGCAGCATCTTTCAACTGGTACTTTTGGAATCAATAATCCAATAGAAATGGCCATAAGATACAGAACAGATTTACATCTTTAAGTCAGACCCCAAATTTTCTCCACTCTTTCTAATTTTTTATTCTTTTTGCGAGGCAATGGGGGTTAAGTGACTTGCCCAGGGTCACACAGCTAATGAGTATCATGTGTCTGAGGCAGGATTTGAACTCAGGTCCTCCTGACTCCAGGGTGCTCTATCCACTGTGCCACCTAGCTGCCCCTTTCTCCATTCTTTTTTAAAAGGAGGGATCAAGTTATATAGAAGAATCAGGGGAGGATTCATCAAGTTGAGGCAGAAATAGGAATTTGACCCCTTCCACCTGAATATTAACATTTCCTGGCTGTCTTAAGAGTTATGTTTTATAATAAATAGAAAATTGATGCCATGACTGTCACAGACTATTTTATGAATGAGGATGAAGGACTGCAAATTATTATTACTTTTAAGCCAAAAGGACATTTAATTAGGAGATGGGAACTCTGTCAAAAAGTTTTTCAAACTCTTCAGCCCTGTCTAAGTTTTCTAGAGTATAATCAGATGTAAGTTGTGATGGCAGCTTTTCTCTCAAGTGTATTCCTTGGTGTTTAGTAAGAGCTGAGCTTTTGCTGAAGCTTTTACCACAGTGAGAACACTCATAAGGTTTTTCTCTTGTGTGAGTTCTCTGATGTTCTCCAAACCGGGTACAGTTACTAAAACTTTTTTCACAATCCACACATTTGTAAGGATTCTCTCCTGTGTGTATTCGCCAATGGGCGCTAAAGTGAGAGCTGTTGGTGAAACTTTTCCCACACTCACCACACTGATAAGGCTTCTCTCCTGTGTGAGTTCTCTGATGTATTACAAGGCTTGAGCTCTGACTGAAACATTTTTCACACACACTACATTTATAGGGTTTCTCTCCTGTGTGGATTCTCTGGTGAGCACCAAAGTTTGAGGAGTCATTAAAACTTTTCCCACACTCAAGACATTTAAAAGGTTTCTCTCCTGTGTGGATTCTTTGGTGTCTTATAAGGCTCCTGCTTCTTCCAAAGCACTTCCCACACACATTACATTTGTAGGGGTTTTCTTTCTGATGACTTGCCTGACACGTAAGATGTGAGCTCTGAAGAAAACTTCTCCCATATTTGAAAAATCTGTAAGGTCTCCATCCCATGAAAGGTCTCCGATGACCTATGACCTTTCCTAAATCTCTCTGCTGGGTAATGAATTTCCCTTGTCTTTCTCCTGGGAGGCAATTTCTCCATTGTCTTTTGGACTTGCAGTCCCTCTTCTGGTCTTTTCCTGGATCAATATCATGGGGAATGCCATCTTTAGACTTTCCTGATAATGTTGAATGTAGGTCCACTTTCTCATATATTTGTGTTGAATCTTTCTTATTCCTACTACTCATCTCAAAACCTGAAAAAAAAAAGAAAATGAAAATGTGATTCTATGCCAAAGCAAGAGGAGGAAGTATGAGGTATTATGTTAGCTTCTGGAGACTATAAAGAAAAAAACTAACAGTCTCTGCCCTAAAGGAACTTATAATCTGTTAGTGGTAATAGTGGTAATATGATACACACCCAATAAAATAAAAAATAAAACACAAAGTCGAATGTGATGGAGCAAAGGGAAGATCTAAAATCTGAGGAAGGAAAGAAAACTTTCATCTGGGGAAAGGAAGGTGAAGTGGGAAAGGAATTAATGAAGGATTCATGGAAGAACTGGTACTTGAGCTGAGCAATGAAAGAAGATTTCTGTAAGTAAAGATGAGGAAGGAGTGTATTCCAGGCACGGTGGATGGGGGCAGTTTGCATGTACAGGAAAGTGTAGGACAAGAACAAGTAACAACTAGTCGTCCAGTTTGGGTTAAGCACAGACTGTGTGTGAAGGAGAATTGTGTGGATAAATCGGCCAAAGTAGGTTGGAGCCAGATTGTGGATGGTCTTAAATGTCATGTTAAAGAGTTTGTACTTTTGTCCTACATACAACAAGGAACCACTGAAGATTTTTAAGTAGGGTACTCAAATGGCAAGAATTGTATGTTACAAAGATTATTTTAGCAGTTGTGAGAAGGGCTGAATGGAAGAGACAGTAGAAAATTAAAATACAATGAATAAGAAGGCAAAAGTAGGGAAAATGCAACCCAAATTTTCAAAAAAAGGAGAAAAGTCTGCAAACTGTAGGCCACTTAGCTTGATTCTGATTCCTGGGAAAATTTCAGAACAGATCACTCACAGCTGGTTAGTAAACGACTAGAAAAAGAAGCAGTGACTACAAAGAGCTAGCTAGAAGGAGATGGGGGCATGTAATAGATGGTAATATAAATTGATGGATCAGGAAGTAGTTGAATGGCCTATCTGAAAGAATTTTTAATGGGTCAATGTCCTCTTGGCAGGAGGTCTTCAGTAAGGTGCCCTAGGTATCTAAGCTTGGCCCTGTGCTATTTTGCATTTTTATTATTGACTTAGATAAAGGCATAGTTGGTCTACTCATCACACTGACATAAAACACTAGGTGACAGTCAGGATGTAAAAAGATCTTGACAGACTACAACATGCAATGGAATCTAACAATATGAAATTTTAATAGGGACAAATGTAAAGTCTTAAAATTGAACCCAAATTAAAACTGGGTTAAAATCAGTTTCACAAATATAAGATGGGGGAGGTGTGACCAGGAGCAATTCTTCTGAAAAAGATCTGGGGGTTTTAGTGGACTGCAAGCTCAAGATGAGTTAGTGGTATGATGTGGAAGCCTAAATAACAGATCACAGGCTACACTAGTTTCCAAGAATTGGGAGATGACAATCTCATTGTACTTTGTCCTTGTCAGACTGCATCTGGAGTATTGTATTCAATTCTTGGCATCACAGTTTTAAAAAGGCATTGATAATTTGGACAGTGTCCAGAGGAGAGCAACCAGGATGGTGAAGGGCCTTAAGTCCACGTCGTAAGAGAACTGAAGAAACTGTGGATGTTTAATTGGGGGAATTAAAGGGAATGATATTAGTATTCAAATATTTGAAGCACTGTCACATGGAAGAGACTTGTTCCTTTTGGTCCCTGATGGTAAGACCTCTGTGTGGAAATTTAAAGAGGCAAATTTAGGCTTGACATTAGAGAAAAAACTAACAATTGGAGCTGTCATAAAGTAGAATGGGCTGCCTTGGGTGTAGCTGATCCCTAATCAGTGGAGGTCTTTGAAACTGAGGCTAGATGACCACTTGTCAGATGAATGCATTGTGGGGATTTCTTCCCAGTATGGGCTGGAATCAGAAGGCTGTTAAGATTTCTTCAAACTCTAAAATCTTTTGATTCTGATAATCAATTCAGTAAACATTCATTCAGTGCCTATGACGTGCAGATCACTGTGCTAGGTTCTAGGTACACATAACTGAAAAACAACACAGTTCTTATCCTAATAGCATTTATGATCTAATACAGGAGATAAAACAGGTATAGAAACAACTATAGTAGAAGTGTGACTAAATGTAAGGGATCAAAGAAAGTAGCATAGGAGATTTGAAGAGAGAGCACCACTAGATAGAAGAAAAAGGGAAGGCTTCACTGAGGAGGTTGCAACTGAACTTTAAGGAAAAGTGGGTTTCTAACAGGCAGAAATGTGGGAGTTCCAGGGATACGGAAAGGCAGGGGCAAATTCTGAGAGGTAGGAAAGGACAGGAAGAAATAAAGGAGTAGAGAACGGTTCAGTTTGGCTAGAGTGTAGAGTTGGTAAATGTAGCAAACACAGTTGGTAAAGTAGGTTGAAGGCACATTACAGAAAGCCTTGACATCAGGTTAATTCAATAGATGATGTGGAGTCATTGGAGAATTTTTAAAAAGGGTGAAGTGACATGTCTGATAGAAAGTTTACTTCAGTAGAAATGTGAAAAGGGCAAATTTGAGGACGAAAATGGAGGCTGATCAGTTAAGAAATCATTACAAATGCTCAAGTGAAGGCTTAAAGGGATGACTATGAAATATATTTTGGAGGTAGAACCGACAGGACTTGGTAACTGTTTCGATGTAGGCATTGGAGAGGGAAGAGTGAGAGATGACTCCAAGGTTGAATGACTGGAAGAATGGTGGTGTCATCAAGAGAAATAGGAAGTTGTGAGGAAATATTTAAAAGGAGGTTGGGGGAAGATGATTAGTTTTAGATATGCTGAATTTATATTAGTAGGACATCTAGTTGAGGCTGTATTATACGCAACTGGAAATGTGAGCCTGGGGCTCAGGGGAGAAATCAGTAGTAGAGATCTAGATATGAGAATCACTTGCAGTAAAATTATTCAAATCATGGATGTGGTTGAGATCATCAAGGAAGAACCAAGGGGGCAGAAATGGGCAGATCCTTGGGGGATACAAACTTTGGGAATGGGAGGAGAGAGAGGGAAACCATATAATGAGACTGAAGGGCCAGAGAGATAGAAGCTGGAGAGAATAATATCACTGATGCCAAAGAATAAAAGCATATCAAGGAAGGGATAAATATTATCAAATGTTGCAGACAGATGAAGGATGGTTTAAGGGGAGGTCACTGGATTTGACAATTAGATCAATAATTACCTTCGAAATAGAAGTTTGAGTGCTGATAATAGATAGTGAGGAAGCAGAGGCAACCAGTACAGACTACTCTTTCTAACTTTAGCACTGACAAAGAGGATGATAGCTCAAGGGGGCAACAAGGTCACTGGAGAATTTTTATAAGTATAGGGCAGACTTAATTATTAATGTTGAAACAATATCCCACACTCTCAACCCCTACACAAGCTTTGAAGTAAGTAGATCTCTTTGGAATAGGCCAAACAATATTCATGGTCATGAGAAATAGTAAGAAATGATTTCAAAATTCTCTATTTCAATAAAATGTAAATAAGTATACGTTAAAGTGTTACATGCAGTCTAGAATTCCCAGCATTTCCTGTGTTACTGAAAATGGGTCTCAGCACCTTCATTTCTTCTCATTTTCTTTACACTCCTCAGTCTGTTTTTCCAGTATTAGACAATATAGATATATCTTATTCCCAACATTACCACTAGCTAGCTGTGTGACTCTGAGGAAGTCATCTATCCTCTTCGGGCCCTACTTTTCTCATCTGTAAAATAAGAGGTTGAACCAGAAGCTCTTTAAGGTCCCTTCCTAGTCTAATAGTCTATGACTCTCTGAATATTAATATTATAAACAACTCACAATTGAAGGTTTGTGTGGTTGTGAAACTGAAATATTAAGTGACTTGCTCAGGATCACCCAGCTAATGTTTAATGAGTAAGTATTGAAAGATATTTTATTCAATTCAATTAAACAAACATTTATTAAGCACTCAGCTGCTGGGGACACAAATAAAATTGTCCTACTCTCAAAGAGCTTATACAATACACAAGCAACCCCCATACTAGTCAACTTAAAAGAATAATAATCTAATAGCTAACATTTATATAGTACCCACTAGGTGCTAGGTGCTATACAATCATTACTATAAAGACTGGGAATTGGACAGAAGGTGCTAACCTGCACCAGTGGAGAGAGTTTCCTCATCTGGTAGTTCCCTATATCAACAAAGTCACAGATTCAGTCCCAGTCCCTCCTCCCTACTGTCGTGAACATGGCTTGAAGACATTTTGCTACAGCACCGACTTACTAAATGTGCTTCTTCATCTATTTAATAACATTGGCATTTTATCTATGTGGCAGAGTGGCCCCTCCCCTGCTCACTCTACAGGTGAGGTACCCTGAAGCAGAAGCTGGACATGCAAAATGAAGCCTCTTCCAGAGCTCCTATAGCTACACAGCATAGGGTTGGAGTTTACAACCAGTTCTGAGTTAGTGGAAAGAGGCAAGATGGATGCTCAAGACCTATAACTGAAGTGTCCATTTATTCTATCTTTGTGTTTTTCAATTCTAACCCATTTTCTATATCCAACAATTAGAACACCAGATTTCCAAAAAAAAATAACACTGCCCCCCACCAAAAATGTCCTCAGTGTGATTCCTTGTTGAACACTTCTTGCTATAGTGCTAAGAATTGTGATTTGAGTTGGATTCTAGTCCTAGCTCTGCCTCTAACTTGCTATGTGTCCAGGGGCAAGTTACTTCCCCCTCTAGGGGCTTCAGTTTCCACATGTGCAAAATGAATATAGCTAGACTAGAGCTCTCCTAGCACTAAGGATCTATGATTATATCCACTGCTTCCCCTTTGTTTGGCTTATTTGTTACCCCCCCCCCCCCCCCAAAGCACATAGTGCAATATGATTTCTCTTTAGAATGAGGCTACCTTTCTCCCAATTTTCTTTTGTGTTCAGTGATTCTCCCTCAAATTTTTCCTAGTACTCTCCTTGGCATTCTTTGACTCCTATCACGTTCTTTCTTGTATCATACTTAACTTGTGTACAAGTATGATAGATTCATTAGATCCTGAGCTTCTTGAGAAAAAGGACTGAGTCATTTTTTCATCTTTATATTTCCAGAACCTAGCACAGCACCTTGAACATAGTAGGGCGCTTAATAAATGTTTGTTTAATTAGACAAAGTTTTGATATTCCATGAGTTTACCAAATATAGAAGTGAAAGTCTTTAATCTGCATTTCCAAGGGTCTCCTCTTGGAATCCTTTACAGGATTGGAGTCATGCTAGCAATATGCCAGGTTTCTGGCATGGTGACTATTTTTAACTTCAGGTTAGTGTTTAGTCAACATTCCCACAATTTTACTTGATTTCCTGTAGAATTCTTTTATTCAGTAAAAAACTTATCATATATGTGCACCATGTACCATGTGGATACCAATTTCAGTGATTTAATCTCAATGCACCAGTATGATTTTTGCTGGGATTCTCCTGCATTAAAAATACCTTCTTTTAGTTACCAAACATCCTGAAAAAGTGATTTAGATCTATATCTCAACACTTGCCCACTGTTTAACTCCCTACAATTGGGCTTCTGCGCCTACCACTCTATTGAAACTGTTCTTTCTGAGGTTACCAGATCAAATGGTATTTTCTCAATCTTCATCTTTGCTGACCTCTCTGAAGCTTGTGATCCTGCTGAGATGCACCCCTGCTCTCCTGCCTTGGCATCTGTGACACTGCACTGCTCCAGTTCTATTTTTCTACCTATCCTATTTGTCTCTACTGGCTCTGCTGCTTGTCCTCTAAGTGTGGGTGTCCTTGACCTCAGGCCCTCTGCTTTCCTCTTTCGATAGTGGTCTCCCTTGGAGGTTTCTCATCCACTTCAGTTGTCACTGGTCTCTCAACTCTGGAACCAGCACTTTTTGACTATGCCCTACTTTCTCCCCTTTCAGGCTATGACCTCATTGAGGAAGGTTCTCACCGCTTAAGTTTTGACCCAAAGTTAGAGTGCCTTGGGACTCAGGTTCCTCTACCAGTTCGTTGGCACAAATTCTTTGGCTGTCACAGTCCTCCACCATGGCTGCTTGTAAGGACTCCTCATGTTCCCAGCCTCCCTGTTCTTGAGGTTCAATCTCAACACCATTTTCTCCTCGAATCAGAGGCATTACTTCTTCCAGGTTATCAATGGAGGGGGCAGAAGCCTGGGCATTCATTAGCGCATCCAACTCCTCATAGAAGGCACATGATTCTAGCACACTGCCACTCCTTACTTTGCGGTAACTCTTTTGAAGGCTTTTGAACTTGGTCCGGCATTGTTCTGGTGTCCGAAGGAAGCCACATTCTTGAAGCTGCTCTGCCACTGCCCCGTACACTTTGCTCTTTCGATGACAGGCTTGAAGGGCTTCATAAAACCGAGACTCACTAAGAATGTCAAGGAAAGTCTTAGTTTCCTCATAGCCCCAGTGCACACCTGCCATCAGAGCACAAAGTTGAGAGATAAGAGTAGAAGCATGATAGAAATTACAGCCAAGAGCAGCACCAGATAAGCTATTGATTTTCTGTAACAATTTTCTGAGGAATCATCAGAAATTATTTTTTATGGCAGGCTGATGAAAGGATATTCAATCAAATTACTTAAACTGTGACCCAGAAATACTACTCCAAAGTGGTTTACACTCCAAAAGAGATCAAAGAAAGAGGAAAAGGACCCATATGTACAAAAATATTTTTAGTAATGCTTTTTGTGGTGGCAAAGAATTAGAAACTAAGCAGGTACCAATCAACTGAGGAATGGTTGAACAAATTATGGTATATGAATGTGGTGGAATATTACTATGTTGTAAAAAATGGTAAAGGGAACTGTTTCAAGAGAAGACCTGTATGAAATGATACAGAATGAAGTGAGCTGAACAAGAATTTATACAATAGCAACAATATTGTAAAGACAAATATCTGAGAGACTTAAGAACTATAATCAATGTAACATCCAACTACAGTTTCAGAGGTCTTATGAGGAAACATGCTACTCACCTTCTGACAAAAAAATGATGTATTCATGATTGCAGATTGAGGATATATTTTTTTGGACATAGCCAAATTTGTTTTGCATGACTATACATATTTGTTTTAAGGGTTTTGTTTTTCTTTCTTGGAGGGGAATAGGGAAGAAGAAAAGGTGGATTTTCATTAATTTTAAAAAAATAAAAATTTTAAAATTCAACAAAAATATTTTAATATTTTACAAAGTTTAACTTATGAGCTAAAATATTTTAAAATTCATCAAGAGACCTTCAAATCTACTGGTATTTATTCAAATTTCATAGAATCACAGAATGTTAAAACTAGAACGGATCTTAAAAGACCATATAGTCAAAACCCCTCATTTAAAAATTTGGAGGCCATGAGTGATAAGAATTCATTTAGAATGGATTTTAAAGCCCTATATCCTCAGCCTTAACTCAGAAGAAGCATGAATATCACAGAATCAGGAAAGCAAAATCTTTTTTGGTCACTGTGTATACCATGGTATCAAACTCAAATAGAAATTGATCTTCACCAAATTATTGATTTAGGAAACCATAAATTAATATTATCTATGTTTTACTGTATTTTTATTTATTTTGTTAAACATTTCTCAATTACATTTAAACTTGGCTCCAGCCAAACTTGGGAGTTTTGTGGGCTGTGAAGTTGACACCTTTCGTGTAGACTGCATACCTGTGTGAAATAGAGAATTCAATGAAATGTAGTAATTAAGAAATATAATAACTTATATTTACATAGTGCTTAAAATGCTTACAAAATACTTTCTTCACAACCACCTTATAAGGCAGTTAGTACAAAAATTGTTACCCCCATTTTATAGATGATGAAACTGAAGTTGAGAGAGCTTAAGTGAATAGAAGTTGAGAAGAGTTCAATTTAGGCTTCAGACTCCAGAATCCCCCATATGCCACAGTCAGTGGAGTAATGAAGGGATGGTTGTGATCTGTATTGGTGGAAGGAGTAACCACTTCAATGAAAAGCCAAATCTATAGAAGTATCAAATTCATTCATTCCTAGGACCTTATGTTATTTATACAGAGTTCATTTCTCCATGGTGAACTGCAGTGAAGTCCTTTTATTTATATCACAGTTCTAAGTTTGAACACTGCACTCTCATGGAAGATACCTTATCACAGAGGACACACATTGAGCTAGGAACTGAGAAATATATGTCCCAATGCCAACAACACACAGGAGTCAGAAATTTTTATTATCTATGTGGAACTGAAACCTGCTACCGAATTAGGGTAGGGTCACCTCTGGACAGTTTCAGAGGTAGTTAGAAATTTGTTGTTCCCATCTCATCCTTAAGGAATTTTAGCCTACAGCTTACCAAAGGGTCATGTGAATGCCCTCCAAAAGATCATTCAGATGTCTATTAAACCTGCAAGAGTCTGTTTCCCTTTTAGTTCTCTGCTTATTCCTACAGCACATCTTTCAGAAGACTGACATTTAAACTTTCCATTTACTACAGGAGACCCTTAAGGATCTGCCCCAGGTGCCTAATTATTTTCTGTATGCTCTAATACTGGAGTAAGTACTTCCCTTCCAACAATTTAGTTATCACCCTAACTTAAACTACTTTATATTATATTTAAATATCTTTTTGTGTTTTAAGTATCTTTTAAATGGTCTGTTTATTTTAAAGGGGTAAGGTCCTTTTATAAGTTTGTGAGTTTTTGATAGTTGATGAGAGGACTATTGTTATGTATGTAGGAAGGTTATATGAAACTGACGAGAGGGAGTAGGTCACCTTAAAAAGAAAAAGAAACACAGAGATAAATCTTCTGATCAGATAGTATTCTACTGCAGATCACTGGCATCACCCTTATGGCTTTCTACTTTTGTTTTTGGCAGGAGAGGCAGGGAAAACTAGGGGTAGGGAAGATGAAAGGACATGTTTTCTCTTTGGAATATTTCATGACTTGCTGTATAAGAAGGATGGTTGCAAGGCTCTGACCACTGGAAAACATTCCCACAAACATGTCACCAACCCTGGGGGAGAGTCAGTCTCTTCTGGGGTGTCAGTGGTATCACTGTTTACCTGCTGAAGTATATCCTAATTACAGGCAAAGTGGTCAAGAGGAACTAAATATTCTCTTTAGGGCAGAGCAAACCTCATAAAGTAACATTATCTTTATGCAGGTAATACATATTTACTTATTTCTGAATTCCCTCATTTAATTATGTCTAAATAATACTCAACTTCAGGATACCTTTGAGGTGCTACTTCACTGCTGATTTAAAAGAATCATGATGAAACTATAGCAGTTTAGCTTTCTGTTAGTCCTCCACTGGGCCCAGCTTCCTCCTCACAATGGGCAATGTCATCATTCTCCAACATCTCCAGCAAGCAACTCAGACGTCATCTTCTGCTCATTCTAAACATTTTATTGCCAAATCCTGCTGCTTCTTCCTTTACAGCATCCACTGCTGGCAGAGGCTTGGTCTATAGATTGGCTGTAACCTAGACAGCCAGAGGGGTCAAACACAAAGCCCCATGCAGTCTACCACACTCCTGAATGTGGCCTGAACCAGATTAAGTGTAACTGGGAATATTTAACAAAATAAACAAAAATAACACATAGATAATATCACCTTTGAGAATTAAGTCCACATGCAGCCCCAAGGATGCTTCTGTATGGATTTGTGGCTCCACTACATCTTGAGTTTGATACCACTGCCCTAGATCACTACAAGCTGCTCCTCTTCCTTAATGGCCTTGCTGCTTTCAGTGCCATACCCCTTTCTCTAACCTTTCTACTCATGTCAACATTTTCTTCTTTGTCACCATGACTATACTGTTCCCTTTTCCTCCAAGAGTTCTTTTATTGTAGAAACATGTAAAAAATTGGGAAACAACTTGGCAATAATACAATGAATATAACTGGTGGCAAAGTCTGTACTGGTTGTACATTTTTGCAAATACTCTAATGAAAGGAATGTCAATAAAGAGTATCATCAGTTTGTCCTTGAGGTGTATGGATCAAGACCAAGAGTCACCACAGATTGGTCCTTGAATGTCCAGATTAGACAGACGAGACTGATGTACGATGTACCTCTTATAAGGGAGTGGGTAGAAGTACAAAGTCATCTAGTGTTCCCTATTACTTCCTTAATGCACCAGAGCTGCTGGAACCATTCTTCAAGTCTTCAGGTTTAGAAGTTAGTTCAGACTTGGAAAGGAACCCTTTGGGGAGAGCTACAGATCTCTTTGGTCTGAGCCAATTAAGGTCAAGGTCCTTAAAAGTGCTAAGTTCATCTTGGGTTTCAAGCTAGAAGAAGCTCCACTATAATAATGTGATATGTACTAGATTCACCTTGCTGTTAGGAACACCAAATTTCCTTTTATTTTTGGTTGTGAATGATGTCACTGTGAAGAGATGGGGCATAACAGCAATCAAACAATAAATCAAAAAGTATCTAAGCACCTACCATACTAGGGCATAGAGATACAAAGGCAAAAATGAAATAGTTACTGCCCTCAAGGGGCTGATATTTTACTGGGAGAAACAATATAGACACATAAAAATATAAGCAAAATATAAAATACACACAAGTAAATATAAAAAATATGCAAAAATAACAATGTAAGGAATGTATTTTGAGTTACTTCCAAAAACTTTGAAATACCTAATATAATTTTATTATGTAATTCACAAAGTAAAGATAAAGTAATTTAAATAGGGAGGCAACAGTAGCTGGAAGGATCAGGAAAGACCTCATAGAGGAGATAGTGATTGAGTTTTGAGGGAAGTTAGGGATTCTATAGAAAGGGAGGGGGCAGTTTTATGATATATAACTATGTTGTAATCTTGATTTAGTCACTTTCAACACAATAATTTTTTCCCCGTACCAGACAACACAACATTTATTTTTACACCAAAATAAGGAGAAAAAAATCTTACCACTTAGGTTTTGGAACAAGGCTGGAGCCCCAGAGATCTCAGGCTTTTGGGTGAACTCAATGCCCATTTCATCACCATCAGATTCATCTGCAGCTTCTTCCTGTTCCCATATGTCCTGTTCTTCAGCTTTGGGAGTGACATCCCCTTGCCCTGGAGGAGAAACAGTCTCTTTTGGGATGTCAGTGGTTGTGGCATTGGGTCCAGGATTCAACAGGGCATCCATCTCTTCATAGAAGGCACAGGGTTCCAGCATGTGGCCATTCCTTACTTTTCGGTAGCTCTTTTGGAGACTTTTGAACTTGGTCCTACATTGCTCTGGTGTCCGGAGAAAGCCACACTCTCGCAACCACTCAGCCACTGCTCCATACACCTGGCTATTTCGAGGACAAGCCCGAAGTGTTTCATAAAACCGAGACTCTCTGAGAATTGCAAGGAAGGTCTTGGTTTCTTCATAGCTCCAATGTACTCCGGCAATCTTTTCATCTTCCAAGGTCCATGGCTGCTGGTCTCTCCAGGTTTTTCCGTTCCTTTTTGCCAGTGCCTGGATAGGTCCTCGCTTTTCTCCTGTATGGATTCCTCGAAGGACATGTCTCTTATTGGAGCCCTGGAATGCTAAGACCCATGGCTTTTTCCCTCGAGCCAGCTGGGACATCTTCTTAGCTGTTGAAATTGGAATTCCTATAGGAAGAAAAACACATTTCATATTTGTCACAGAAAGTGACCCTGAAATCATCCCTTCATTAATGCATGTTTTTTTTCACATTATATCTTCCTGCATGGAATGCTTCTCTGTGTATTCAAAATCTACCCTTCAAAGTTCAGTTAAAGTCTAACTCCTATTATGACACCTTCTTTCACACATAATACCTCCTCTGTAATCCTATGGCATTTAGGTATTAGCCATAGTTATTTGGCATAATGATAAAATGTCCTATATTGTTATTTAACTTTTCATTCATTACCTTACCAACTAGACTGGAAGCACCAAGAGGGAAGCTATCAGGCTTTATGCTCCTTTTTAAAATTTCTCATATCACCTAGCACTGCACTAAACAGGTAACAGGCACTCAATGAAAGCATTCAAATATTTATGTCCACTACTTGTAGGCAAAATGATATGGAAGTTAGGAGGTGAAAGACTGTGATGAAAGAATGAGTTTAGAACCTATTTATCTCTTAAGGGTATGATGGATCATAAGTAAAGAATTCTGGGAGACATTTTGGCTGTGTTAAATAGAAGGAGGAGGAGGAGGGAATAAGAAATGGAAATACTTAGGTACAGAATGAGAATTAATTCATTTATAGCTCTGCAGAGAACAATGTGTCCTCTGAGGAGAAAATCTTTGCCAAGAAACCTGGACTAAAAGCTTCTACAGCCTTCGATATGTAACATTAATTAAAGTTCCTTTTAGAACGGCCTTAGAGGATGACAATTTGTTTTCTCCTATGGGCAGAGTAGAAGTAAGGATACTACTATTTTGAAGTTCAAAGGAAAGTGATAATTTTATTATTAGTAGAACTGACCACAGACCACACAAACCTGAAAAGGAAAGAAGTCCTTACCTAGTGAAACCATGTTCCTATAATTCTCCTTCATGATACCCCTGCAGAAGTTCTTGTGAGCAGGATTTAGATGCCCCCACTTCTTGTGGGAGAGATTTCTGGATATTCCCGAACATATCAGAGATTCCTGTAACAACACTGACACCTAGTACCACCAAGAAAACATCATTGCTCTTTCCTGAGATGAATGGCTGGGAATGAAACACAGAAGGATCTTGAGGTAAGAAATGTGATCAAGGGCCCTGGGATGGGTTATTTGCTGGTGAAGGGGAGAACCTTTGCAGAACAGCCATGAGGTATGGGAGATCTGCCAGCACTATTTATAAAAAGTTGAGTCTAATCTCCTCCAGAAAATAAACACAGGAGCCCTCCCAACCATCCCAATCATCCCCATGGGATACAAAAGCTGGGAAAGAATAGAAGGAAGCAGTTAGAAATTTAGATGGCAAAGAGACCCCATGACTTTTGGGAAGCCAGAGAAAAGAGCTACAATGTACCTGGGACCCAGTAGTAAGAAGTGGCATAGCCATCACTTCCTGATCTCCAGTATTCCTTTTTTCAGGAAGGTGAGGAATCCATGAAGGAGGTAGTGCTGAGGGAAGAGAAAGAAGCTATTAGTACATTGGGCTTTTTAGTTTTTTAATTACTGCCTCTCACCTTTTTAAAGAACTTTAAGGACTTATATTTTTGTCTTTGTATTCCCAGTGCTTTGTACACAGTGGGCTTTTAATGTGTTTTTAATATGTATTAAATACAAATAGAAGGAACAGAAAGATAAAACCTAGTACTGTAATTATAATGACCAAGCTTGGCCCTGGGAAAGAGTTGAGAAAATGTACTTCTCTTCCTTCTTTACAAAGGCAAAGGGGCTACAGGTGTGGTATACTGCATATATTGTCAAACATGGTTTGTTTTGCTAGGTCAGTCTTGCTAGGTTGATTTTTTTTCTTTCTTTTTTATTTCAAGTGATGTTTTCTAGACGGGGGAGTGATATTTATGGAAATGAAGGTAATGCAAAACCAAAAAAATTAATATTTAAAAAATATGCTTGTTGAACTGAATTACCATGTACAATATGCTGGTTACCATTGCTGTAAGGAGAGGAAGAGACAGAAGTAAGAGATGTTCTGTTTTAGACACAGCTCAAGCTATGGTCCACCTCTACCCTGGAACCTACCACCTAGGGATAAACTCTATAATGAAAAAGCTTACATGGGTCTCTATACCTTTGAGTTTGTTCCACTTTTAAATCCCCTTTGTTGAAACATATATCCTCCCTTAGGTGTACAATCATGAGGCTGTGCTTTATAAGACCAAAATAGTACAAATATTTTAAATCCAGGAATTCCTTCTCACTGTGGGACAGCACCATTCTGAGACAATTCCAAATGAATGATGAATATAATATGAAGTCACTCCATTTTAGAAGTACCAATCCATGTTAGTTAAGGACAGCAATCAATTGCAAACTGGTTCATTCAGAATATTAGTCACATTTGGTTATGAAATAAATATGATGTTTTCTGGGGGTAGCCACAGATTTATTTTCCTAACAGTTTCTTATTTATTAGAATTAATTGATATTCTTTGAAGGGCCATCAACTACTAGATTGGAAGGGGGGGAAGGAAAGTGATCTAGCTAGAGGCTTAAAAATTGGAAAGGATAATCTACTAAATTACTAATCTGTGTTCAAATGAACAAGTGGCACCTAAAATGTTATCAGGTAACCAATATGCCATCTTTCCCCCTTAAGAGTCACTTGGAAAAAAGACTTCAAGGAATGAACATCTGAGAAGAAAAGAACCAGGTTTCCTTTATCAAATTTAAATGATTCCATTCCACAAAGAGCTATAGGATTCAGTAGTGTGGGTTGTAAGTTGGAATATAAAGCAGTCAAAAGAAAGAATTAGGTACTCTCCATGAGCCTCTCTGTACCACAGGTATTCTGCTGCTTTAATGGGGCTGCCCAAGGCCTATAGGAAGACTGTACAGAGGCCTATGCTAGTTTGCTCACCTTACAGTCTCAGTTTCTCTCTTCCTCCTACTAAGGCTTTGCTCTGTAGGCAGCCCAGGATGGTTTCTGATTGAATTAGGGTGAGAATTAGTTCTGAACACTTCAACCAATTAAACAATTTTTTACTGAGCAGACAATCCATGTGCAATTACTAGGGGGGATAAAAAGCTGTACAAGGACACTTGCTCTTAAGGATCTATTCATAAGAGGACCCTAAGCTGGCTTGTAGTTATCACTACTACCTTTCCTAAATGTTCATAAACCTTTTGCTTAGTAAAGCCCTCTAGAATTTTGCCAGGAAAAATTATGATATATATTAAGCTCATCAGTCAAATTTGGGAAATAAGACATAGATATAGAAAAATAATATAAGGTAGTATCATAATTACTAAATGAGTAGAAGACAATAAATGCTATAGGACTTTAGAGAAGGAAAGATCACTGTGTGCACTGTGGTCAGGAAGTGGTTCACAGAAAATCTGGGACTTGAAGTGTGAAGAAGGCTGCTGTGGTCAGTGTTATGGACATTCTAGGTATTAACAAATCACAAGGCATAGGATGTTAGATAGGGAAGGGACCTTAGCTCATTTAGTTCAACCCCTTCATTTTACTGAGGAAGAAACAAAGGCCCAAAGAGTCTAAGTGAGACCCAGGGTCTCATATCCAGTAACTAATAGAACCTGGACTAAAGTCTTGTTTATGTGATGCCAAATGCAGGGAGGTAAATAGTTAAATGAAAGGTGTTTCAACTACTAATTCCCCTCTACAAGCCCACTCCAATCCATCCTCAACCCCAGTTGATTCAGGGAATCTGGAGCAACTCAAATGCAATTACATTCAACCTCAAATCATTCTGCTCCAAAGGAGCTCCAGAAATTTGTGAATTTTAGAAATATGGAAGGAATTTGGGTCCAAGACCTAGACCCATTTATGTAATTTCTCTGCTTAAATTTTCCTGCGATAATTTCTAATCAGAGGCATCTGGGTGGTGCAGTGGATAGAATGCTGGGCCTGAAGTCAGGAAGACCTGAATTCAAATTTAGCCTCAGATACTAGCTATGTGACTGGGCAAGTCACTTAACCTGTTTGACCTAGTTTCCTTAACTGTAAAATGGGAATAATAACAGCACCTACCTTCCAGGGTAGGTGTGAGGATCAAATGAGATTCCTTTTCCATTCCCCTTGGAATGGAAATCACTTTAGGTCATATTTTGGCAGCCTTTCTAAATGTTCTTGCTTTACTCTCCTGGACCAAAAGGTAGTTTAACTTCAGATTCTTAATATATAGTCAAGAAAACTTTAGTCCAGGATAGTTCAGGAGGACATCTAGAGTTGGACAAATGTTAGAAAATGGAACTTGATGGCCAGGGCTTAGCTTCAGGTTTCCAGTTCTATTCAAAATAGAAAATATTCCACAGATACAGGGAGGGAACCATGGAAAAGGATGTTATAATTCTGGACGTTACCATAGTTAAATATTCCTAACATATATGGGAGACCTCTATTTTATAATTAGTATAGGAATGGAAGAGAAGGAAAAGGAAGTTATTCCTTGTATATGGCATGACCTACCTTTCTCCATACTAAACTATATCTTTGCCCTCCTTTAAACATACTGTACAGGACTCATTTATTTCAATGAGGTCTTCCCAGACTAGCTGCACCAAGCTCTAGTCACAGTAGTAAGGTTTGTAAACCACCTCTGATTCGTTATGGTTGCTTTTCTGTTGTTAAACAATGCATTCTTGGGGCAGCTAGGTGGTGCAGTGGATAGAGCACCGGCCCAGAATTCGGGAAGACCTGAGTTCAAATCCGTCCTCAGACACATAACACTTACTAGCTGTGTGACCCTGGGCAAGTCACTTAACCTCATTGCCTAACCCCCCCCCAAAAAAAACCAACAATGAATTTTTACTTGTCCTTTATTTCCCCCTTTAGATTGTAAACTTCTGAATGCAAGAATATGCCCCTATTTCCATTACAAATTCCCCCAGCACTGACTGCTGTGCTCTGAACACTGAGGGATCATGTGACGCTGGTGAAAGAAGAGTGGAAAAGTGAGGAAAAGGGTGTCCTATACTGCTAGCAACAGATTCAGGGCATGACATAATGTTGTGCTAACCAACATTTTAGTCAGGCTTTCTTAGCCAAAGTTGTATCTTAAAAACAGCAACTACTGTAGTATTATCCAGAGCAGGGGCTAGAACTTTTGGTACATGAGATAATTTTGAGTCAGATCACTCAACAGAGGCACATGGGCAATTAGGGTAACACAGAGAGACATGTATAGGAAGGCGAAAAAAGGGGGGCAAGAGTTTGCTGCATCCTCTTCTCCTTATGTGATCATTTTTCTAACCCTACCTTGGCTTCTCCCAGGTTTGACTCATTGGTCTTTGGGCAGATAACCTAAAATCTGTCCCAGTGGTTTGGGTGTCACTGTCCACACCTCTTCTAAAGGGGTTGGCTAGGCTAACTGGGTAGGCCAACTTACTGAGATGGTTATACATGAGTAGGACTGTACTATACCCTATGATACTTTACCTTTCAGAAACTTTCCAGAAGATTTTCTTGGTGGGGCGATGCAAAGGTGGCCATTCTTTCCTCCCCTTTATTCTTGAGGGAAACGGGCAAGGATTTGGTGTATAAACATTAAATTGTATTTACAATCATGAGAAACCTTAGAGTGAATAAATGAAGACATTGCATAGGCCTTTTTGGGAGGGTTCTGCTCAGACTACTGGTATTCAACTTGCTCAGTGGGGTAGAACACATTTATGCTACACAACATGATAGTGGATTGAAATTTCTGAAGCTATTTTACCTTTATATAATGCTTTATGGCTACAAGGTGCATTCAATACATTATTTCTTTTGATACAAAAATCCTGTGAAGTAGGTATTTTAAATATTATTATTCTCATTTTACAAAGAGGGAACTGAAATCTAGAGAGACTGATCCACTTGACTTAGTGTCAAATCTAGGATTAGAACAGAGCTGGGGTCAAAAAATCAAGTTCATATATGTAAGATCAGAGAGACATAGCAGTTTTTATCCAAAGATCTGGGAGATTTAGTGGACTTCAACCTCAATATGAGTCACCAGTGTGATGTGACAGTCAAATATGCTAATGAAATGTTGGGCTGCATTAAGTCAGATGGTATCCAGAGGTGATAACTCTGCTGTTCTAGTCAGACCACCTCTGGAATACTGTGTTTAGTCTAGGGTGCCATATTTTTGGAAGGACAATGATAAAGGGAGAACATCCAGAGGAAGGCAATCAGGATGGTTGAAAGGCCTTGAGGTCATCTCATACCAGCATGAGTTGAAGGAACTGGGCATATCTGCCTAGGGAAGAGATTTAGAGGAAACACCATACTTAAGTATCTGAAGGATTATAATGAAGAAGAGGGATTAGATTTATTCTCCTTAACCCCATGAAGCAGAACTAGGAACAACAGGTTCTTGGGAGTTGCAGAGAAAGAGATTTTAATTTGATGTAAAGAAAAAAAACTTCCCAACAAATAGAGCTGTGTAAAACCGAAATAATTGACCTTGTGAGGTTTCGGGTTTCTCCTCACTAGGGGTCTCCAAACAAAAGCTGACTACTTGTAAGAGACAAATGTCCAAGACCAGGGAGATGACGAATTCTATCCTTGTTAGATCACATATGGAATACTGTGTTCACTTCGAGGCCTCACATTTTAGAAAGGGCACTGATAAGCAGGAGCACATTTATTGGGGAACAAAGATAATGAAGAGCTTGGAGATCATTTGACATGAGGATAGCTTGAAAGATATGGGGATGTTCAAAGAAGACTCAGAGTGGACATGATAGCTGTCTTCATGCATCTAAAGGCTATTATGTAGAAGAGGAATTAGACTTGTTCCGCTTGGCATTAGAGGACAGAATAAAAAGAGTGAAAACTGCATTTAGGCTTGAGGTATCCAAAAGCAGAATGGGCTGCCCTGGGAAGTGTGTTCTCCTTCCTTGGAGATCTATAAAGAAAAGGGAGAAATGACCATTTATCCATTGTGTTGTAGAGGGGATTCTTGCTTGGGTATGGTTTGGTCTAGATGGCCTCTGATGTCTCTTTCACCTTTGAGATTCTGCAAGTTGTTAAGAAATCTGATAAAATGCCTTCATTGTCAGAGTATGCATTACTTTTAGAGGCCGCTCATTTGGTTTCTGCACAACTTTTTAAAAAATAAATTGAGCAAATATTTCAACTTCTTCCAAATCCCTCTTTCACACAGAGTCTCACTCCTAAGTTTCTTTTAAAAAAGAGGTGGTTAGGTTCTAATGAGAGTACTGTTTCCAGTGTAGAGCTCTTCATATTAGAAGAATGAGAAGAACTTGGAGAAGGTCCTGATAAGAACAAAAATGACTGAAGAGTTGGAAAGAAGACATATACAAAAGGGAACTGGAATAATTTAGTCTGAGGGCAGTCTTTAAGTATTTAAGTTGCAACTATGAAATAATATGACTAATTAACAAACCTACCAGAACTCATACATCCAAATGAGTGCTGTCCCCTTGGGAGGCTATATACTTATTCCGACGATGCTGCTACTGCTTCAAATGTTTTTGGAATTCCACTTTGGGAATTGCCTTTAGAACTTTCGACACATTCTTTTCAATATCCTCAGTGATGGCATATCTTCATTCTCTGAGGGTGGATTTGATATTTGGAAAGAGACAGAAGTCATCCTGAGCCACATCTGATGAATAAGGTGGGTAATCAAGCTGTGCGATAATTTTTTGGGGGGGAGTCATAAAAAATGAGGCATAATTATAAAATAATGAAAATAAATTTTTTTTATTACTATAAACTGCTTCTGAGTAAAATTTCCCCCTAAAATCAAAACGACACCTATCTGAATGTAAGACATTGTGCAATTCCAAAAGAGAAATTACAAATATGTTTTGGGCAATGAAAAGACTTCTAGAATAAGCAAATATTCCACCAAAGCAATATTTGAAGGACAACATTCATTTGGATGTATATGACCTGAAATGTATATTAGGAAATGATAAAGTTCACATCTACTGAGGATAGAACAAAAAGAAAATCTGCAATAGACAACAGATAACCACTTCACATTTGTACTTTTAACTTTTCTGGACACTTTCACATATAGGATCTCAGGTATTAGACACTACAACTTGTTACTGAGGTAGGTTAGGGAGTCTTCTTATCTGGAGGTCTTTAAGAAGAGTAACAACCTCTCTATTCTTTGTATAGATACTGAATTTGGTGTAGTTCTGTCCAGGGGCCTAGAGGCAGGAGAATGGTCTGGATCATTGCTTTTCAATCTGTGAGGTTGGAAATGAGATGCAAAGAGCTTTATAATTTGTAGGAAGAACTTTTCAGGTGATGGTAATAGGACCTTGCCCACCCAGTAGAACTGGGTGATAGGTAATTCTTTTCCTGGCTCTCTGGCACACCTCATAATTAAAAGTTTTCTACTATCCAGTGAGACAGACAAAATCTGATCCCTTAAGCTTTTCCATTAGCTAGCTGAGTTAATGATCTACATTATCAGACATTATCATGATGAACAATGAAATGTATAGAGTCAACTATACAAATGCTATACCATAAAGCAAAAAAAAAAACATATGATGACTAGAAAATGGAAAATGATATCAAACACTGGTCTAGATGACTTCTGGGAGACCTTGACAAGTCTAAGACTTCAAGTCTGGTCAAGACTTCCTCATCTACCCAAGATAGACATTTGCTTCTTACCATTCTTTTGTAAGGGTTGGGGCTCCCCTTTATGGTTTAGTTGTCCCTGAAGTCCTAAGTGTAGGTTCCCAGCCTTCTCCTGTGTTACCATCTTAGGCTGGCCCTCTACTTGTTCCATTTGAAAGCCTGGTACTTCCCATGTTGCTCCAAGGGACACTGTCTTCTCTAAGTGCACGTGATTCATAACCTGGTAAATATCCATCATCACAAATGAAGATGGGGGGAAAGAAGGGCAGGAATCAGAGTTAAAATCCCCAAAGAAAATATTCTTCAGGGATACAAGGAATGGAGAGAAAGAATCAGAACTTCATTATTTTGGGGCAATGAAAAACAGTCTGGAATGCTTTGGTTGACAAATCCAGGAACAAGGCATAAAGTATGTGTGTACCTGATTCTCTTAAAAAGGAAGAGCTGGCCAAGTCTTCCTCACTGCCACAATAGAAGAAAAAAAAAAAACCTATTTGAACACAAACTTTACATGTTCCCCAGAGGAAGACTTCAGACAGCTGCACAAAGAAGTCTCTTGCCACATGGCAAGAACTACCCGTGGAAGCAAATAAACATTTAGATGTAATAATGAAGTAATATGCACTAATTTATCCCCACTCTTCCATAACTATGTCTTTCTGTTCCTTATTCCCACTCCTTTCTAATTACATAGATCCGCATTTCCTCTTCTCACCTGCTGCCTCAGTCTTCCAGGCTCTTTCTCCAAATCTGCAATTAGGGCTACAGCTTCCTCAGCACTCTCTGGACACTGCTTCCGTGCCCAGTTCTCAATCTCCTTGGGCAGAATGGTCAGGAACTGCTCAAGTACCAATAATTCCAGGATCTGCTCTTTGGAATGCACTTCTGGCTTCAGCCACTGGCAGCAAAGTTCCCAGAGTCTGCTGAAAGCTTCATGGGGTCCAGATACATCCTCATAACGGAACTGCCTAAAGCTCTTGCGCAAGGTCTCAGAATCAGAGTCTTTCCCTTGAAAGGTTGATTCAGAAGCCCATGAAGTGTCCTTTTCCAACTTCATCATCAAGTGTCCCTCTAGCTCCAGAGGAGCCTTTGCTGGAGGGCAAAGAGCTGTAGCCATCATCAACTTTAGGGTCTACCTCACTTTGGCTAGAGGTTGGGTCACAAATCTTGGTCTTCCTTGACAGGAACTTCTCTGAGGAGGCAGCAAGAAAAAAAAAAATCAACAGAAATATCATAAGGCAAACACTCAAGTCTGATTTTCAATTTCTTGTCTTTAATTCCAAAGACAAAGGGCACTTACACATTCACTGGTCTGTAAACTCTGCTCTACATCCCACAGAGGTTAGATGAAATTAGTTTTTCTGAATACTTTTCCCTCAGTGTAATCACTAGAGCATCAGGCTCTGAGGAGGCAGAGGAAGAAGCTAGTGTGGTATAATAACAAAGGACCAAAAGGAACTAATCCTAGATCTAGATTTGTGACTGATTTGCTGGGTGACCTTGGTTGGGAAAATTGCATCACCTCTATTGTATGTCTGTTTTTACCTCTGTAAAATGAGGTCAGACTCCACTCTTCCAGCTCCGACACCCCCTGTTCTGAGGTCTCTTCCAGTCCTGACACCCCCTGTTCTAAAGTGTTGCTAGTCCGGACAGGTCGCGTTCTGGCCCCAAAGCCCGTAGGAGCCCTGCCAGACCATCCTGGGACGGGGGCAGCAGGGGCGGCGGCGGCCAGGCCGCTGAAGGCTCTCTGCCCTCCTTTGTCTCGGGACGCGGCGCCCCCGAGGAGGGCGGTGGGAGGGGTCCCGGGGCCGCCCCCGAGCTGGGGGAAAGAGAAGCGGGGTCTACGGGCCCGGTCTGTTTTCTCCCGCCCCTCCCCTATATTTCCTTCCCCCCCCCCCCCCCCCCCCGGCCATGGAACCCCCGGCCCCCCCCCGCCCGCTCCACTCGCCTCCCGTCGGCACACGCCCACCGACCCAGTTGCCCAGGGCACCCCAGGCAGCCCGCAGCGGGGGTCCCCCCCTGCCCGGTAGGAGTCTTCGTAACGACTCACCCCCGCCCCGTGTCCGGGCCCCGCCTCAGATGCCAAGCCTGCAGGGCGGGCGAGGCGCGAAGAACGCTGGGAACCGTGCCGAGCCGATGGCAGTGCGCATGTGCGAAGCCGCGGTTCGGCGCCTGAGTCCCTCCTCTCGACCAGCTCGTCCCTGGCTGAGGGGCTGGGGGCCTTTCCTCTGGGGCTGTGGGACGCTTTCTCTGAGTCTCAGGGGGTCATTCACCTGGGATCCGTGAAGTTTTTTAAAGAATAGTTGATAACTATTTCAGTATCATTGGTTTCTTTTGCAATTCTGCCTGTCATTTATTCTAAGAAGGGGAATAGAGAAGGGGACCATCAGATGGCCAGAGTGTTCCACAAAACAAAAAAGGGGGAGCCCCGCCCCAGAACAATGGACGTTCGGATTGGGAGGGGAGGTTTTCCCTCGACCAACGTAGTAATGTGCTTCCTTCTTGCTCAGTGACCTTGGACAAGTCATTTTCCCTCATTGAGCTTCATTTTCCTTAACGAGAAATGAGCTTTAAATCTCTACGAGTTTAATACCTCATGTTTCATAGACCTCTTTACGTTTTTCAAGGGTCTTTCACACCCAAGATCTCATTTGATCCTCCTGGGGGGAGGGGCAAGGAGGATCATAGAATCCCAGAGATGGAAGAAATCTCAGAGGCTAACTAGGAGGTCAACCCACACCTGTACTGAAAAGCTTCATACAATCCAGCAGTCAGCCTGGCTTTGCCTGAACAACTATATAGCAAGGAGGAGCCCATCTTAGGGAATGGTGTGATTCCTCATCTTCCCCGACAACAAAAGAGAAATCCTAGGGAATTATCTGAGAGAATTGAGTGCCTTTTTTTCCCAGTAGTGTCAAAGCTGGGATTTAAACCCAGGCCTTCCAGACTTTTAAGGCCTCCTTGCTGTCTCTAAGAAAAGCTAAATGGATGAAAAAATGCTCATTGCAGAGACTATGACACAAAATTGGAAGAGCAGTCCATAAAAAAGTAGATCCATCCATCCATCTATCTATGTATCTATCTATCACCCATCTGTCTATCAAAAAGGCATTGTCAATGAGGACAAATTGGGCTAAGAATTAAAGAAGAGGGGAGGTTGCAATGAACTTGGGAAAATGCAGGTTTTTTTTCAAGCAGTGCCAAGTTGTTCTCTGCCCCCCAAATCCACCTTTTAATTAAAACACATATGCTGATGATTGTGAATCCAGCAACAACACATGCTCTGAAAAATTGAAGTTGCAGGTCAATGGAGAGATCTATGGTGAATGTAAATTGGCAGTAAAACATTTTTCCAATGATAACTTATGTACAGAACATGGCATAAGGGATATCATTCAGGAAACATGATCAGGAGGTAAGTCTAGTCATGTACTTTCTTTGATCATATTTAGTCTGGGGGAAATAGGAGCCTTCCTGTGACATTTTGCTATGTTAGATGCCCTGCTCCTTTTGAGTCACAAAATGTTTTTGCCTCCTCTGTAGAAGGTTATTAGTTATAGTTTCTGATTCATGATGCAGATAAAACAGACCATCTGCAACCAAGTTGCTCCTTCTTGAATTATATTGTATGTTTAATTATATTGTATTGTAGATAATAATAATAGCTAACATTTACATAATACTACATACATGTAAGTCACTGTGCTTTACAATTATTATTTCCTTTGATCCTCACAACAACCTTGGGAGGTAGGTGCTATTATTTCCCCATCTTACAGATGAGGAAACTGAGGCAAAAAGAGGTTTAATGACTTGCCCAGGGTCACTCAGATATAGTGTCTGAGGCTGGATTTGAACTCAGATATTGCTGACTCAGCCTGATGCTGTATCTACTGCACCATCTAGGGACTAGTTTTTGACTAGTAGCACCAAGTTTAGCAGTTATTGGCATATAGGACCATTGGTTATCCATTTGTCTCAAAGTGCTTAAGGCCTGTGAGATTCATTAATGATAGCATTAACTAGCCGCAATTTCAGCTGATTTTTTAGGTACTCCATTCCCACCCCCATCCCCCTGTCAGTTTTTCTAGACCATTTTGGAATAGGTAGAGGTCAGGGAAACAAATAGTGTGTGCAGTTCATACTGAGAACAGCTTTCATCCTATCTGTGCAGTGAAAACACCACAGAACTGGTCTTGATTTTTTTGACTTAAATGATCATTGTATTCCTTGGATACCAGGAAGTCATTTCTGGATCCACCAAAGATCACAGATTTAGAACTACAAAGGAATTTTAGAGGTCATCTAGTCTAACACCTCATATTACAGATAAGGTAACTGAGGCCCAGAGGATTAAATGATCTGGCCCAGGGAGGTTAAATGACCCCAGGTCACTCAGGTAGTAAGGGACTATTAGGATCTGAACCCAAGGAGATTTTAGATCTCAAACTGCCTTTCAGACATCTAAACTGGATGTCCAGTAGATATCTTAAACTCAACATGTCCTAAATGAAACATTATCTTTTTTCCTAAACCCTCCTCCCCTCCTACCTTCCTTATTATTGTAGAGGGTAACATCATCTTCCCAGTTCCTCAGGCTTGAAACCCAGAAGTCCTCCTTCAATTCCTCATTATCTCTTACTCCACATATCCAATCTAGGACCAATGTCTGTCAATTTCACCTTTGCAACATCTCTCAAATCCTCCTGCCCCCTTCTCTTCTCTGACACTGCCACCACTCTAGTGTAGGCTCTCATCACCTCACACTCGGACTATCGTAATAGCCTTCTCTTGGGTTCTTCTGTATTAAGTCTCACCCTATTCCAAACTATTCTCCACTCATCCACCAAAATGATTTTCTGAAAGCACAGATCCAACCATGTCATCTTTCTACTCATTAAACTCCAGTGGCTCCCTTTTGCCTCCAGAATCAAACACAAAATATTATGTTTGGTGTTCAAAGCCCTTCATAACATAGCTCCCTCCTACCTTTACAATCTTCTTACACCCTACTTCCTGCCATGTACTCTTCAATCAAATGATACTGGCCTCCTTGCTGTTCCATGAACAAGACACTTCCTCTCTCAGCTCTGGGCATTTTCTCTAGTTGGCCCCCATGCCTGGAATGCTCTCCCTGCTCAACTCTGCCTACCACCTTTCCTGGCTTCCTGTAAGTCCGATCTAAAATCACATCTTCTGGAGGATGCCTTTCCCAATTTCTTTTAATCCTAATACCTTCCTTCTCTTAATTATTTCCTATTTATCCTGTATATAGCTTGTTTGTACATCTTTGTTTACTTGTTGTCTTTTCCATTAGATTCTGACCTTCTTGAGGGCAGGGACTATCTTGGCTCTTTTTGTATCTTCAGAATTTAGCTAATGCCTGGCACATAGTTAGTGCTTAATTAAAGTATGTTGACTGATCTACCCAAAGACTAATGGTTCTGGGAGAAGCTTGTGCAAATGAGCCATGAACAGTCAGGTACTAGGCTACACTTTGCTGCCTATAGAATCCAGTGGGTGCTCTGAAATGACTGCAATTTATCCCACTTAATGCAGAAACTATATTAATTTTTCTGCCAATGCCCATGATTTCCTCAGGAAATTCCAGTTGTGCTATGACTTACTCCTGATATGGGTAGTTCTTACTAAAGTCCTCGAGACTTAGACCTCTCAGTAGCCATAATGGTCTCCTAAAACACTCTGTTAATCATAACCAAACACTCTCTCTCCTTAATCTTTATAATAACTTCAATTCATACTTCAGGGAGTCCTAGAAGAATGGGTTCAGTAATAATCATAAGCTGAAGTAGCTCCTATCTTTTTGCTCTTTGCCAGTTCTTTACATGCATCCATTAGAATTTAGTTTCTAACATATAGAGGGTTAATTCTCTTCTTGATCACACTTAGTCCACAGGTGTTCATCCTGTTCACGTGGATTTTTAACAAGGGGCCAGCTGAACTATCCTGGTGGGCTCCCTTAATATAGTTCCAGTGACTGAACTCATTGATCCCTGAGCTTGAGTTTTCCAGTTCCTTAAGTAGGATATTGAATGGCATCTTGGAACACAACCTTCAAGGGAAGGACTTATTTGGTAAGATCTTCCCTCACATAGTCTTCAACACAGAACATGGTGGACTAATTTTAGTTTCTTCCTACAACTCTCTTTAATGACTTCTTTTTCTTTTTCTTCTTTATCCATTTTTATCAGCTGCAAATAACTTTGAGGGAGATGCTGAGAGCTGCTCCTGCTTCTTAGACAGCTGTAGCCACCAGAATTACAATTCACTAAGGCTCCCTCCAGTTCTAACCTGAGACATTCCAACCTGGTTCAGGCACTGTAAAGTTGCTGGTCTTTTTATCAGTGCCTTTTTTGATCCCTTTCCTAACCTCTAACTATAGCTGGAAAGCTTTTAACCTTCTTCTTGGGTTGTGATTAGGAACTGGATGAGAAAGGTACTCAGTGCATTGTCCTCTCAAAGTAATTAGTAGCCTGAGGCATTCATGCTCCCTAACAGTTGGGTTTTCCATTTTTAAAGTAAGTTACTCATAAAATGCAGATGCTCTGAGGCCCTCCAGCAGTTGTTCTCACTTTTCAGTGGCTGACACCTGCCATTCTTTTGTTTTTGTTTTTTCCACCTGCCACTCATAGCATTTCAGCAGCATAAGCCTGCCAGAGTTCAAATTTCTCTAGCAT